TTTAAAAAATTTTAGTTAATTGTATTTGAATTTTTAGAATATTATTTATTATAATTGAATATTAATTAATTATATGTAAAAAATAAAAAAATTTATAATTTAATATTAATTGGTGAGGAATGGGGATTCCGCGCGGATCCCTATTCCTCATAGGGAATGGGGACAGGGACAGGGGACAAAATTTGCCCTTCGTCAAAAATCTTCATGGGATCCCCATTCTCGCCATTCATAAAGACGAGAATGAGGAAGGACTCCCTGATCTCGCAAGATCCCGTTGACGTTCTTACTTTTGAACCATACTTTGAACTAGATTGTAACCCCATGGATCTGTAGCAGCAGCCCAAATCTGTTATACATGGCCCACTTATTCACAACTCTTGAGATTGAAAGTCCTCAACAGGGGCCTCAACAGGGGCTTCAACGGGGACTTAAGCGGGGACTTCAGCGGGGACTTAAGCACCTCTAATTCGAACGCCATATTGTGGCCTCCCTCTCTTATTTCAGTCTCCTTGAAGGTATGCGCGTTCGGATATCTATCATCAAAGATTTTTAACATTTCAAGGATTCTATCCCAGATTGAAATTTCAGTGTTGCGCAAGACATCCTTATGCTTGTACAGAAAATCAAAGACAAAGATGATAAGAGCTAATACTGCCGCAACTCCGGTATTGAGGAAAAGGCCCCAAAAGTTTCCAAGACCCAGACTACTAGAAGAAACCGAGGTACTTGAATCAGAACAACTGGTTTGTTTTGTGAACCATGCCTTTTCAATTTGCTTCATTCTATCACCTTCTATGACAGTTAAGACTGCCCTCGAAACATCCGCTACAAGAGAACCTTTTGGAAAGACCTATAGCTCACAAATTTATTCACAAAAAATCAACTCCATAAACAGCATGCAGATAAAGTAAATGGGGGTAACAGGAAAAGAGAACTCACAAATCCAAAGCCATCAGTCTTAAAAATTGGTTCCAAGGTGGTGTAATTGCAATATTGTGCAAGAAACAGTTTCATGTAGGGAATTTCATCAAAAGCAGCTGCAATACCGCTGTTGGCACTTCCCCTGGTGAAAAGTTCATTGAGATCTTCAGTTGAACTAAAGTTCTTCATCTTGGACGGATCGAATCCCAACCTCTGAACGATTCCCTGGACGAAGGAGCCATCTTGATACCCAACATTCTCCTTTTTCCTCAACAGCTCATTTACGTTGGTCACCGTTGGTTGCAACTGTTGAACTGTCAAAAAAGAAGCTAATCTGGCCGTGTAACTTTGAGTGAGAATGAGGACCACAAAGCACCATATCACCACCACAAACCTTGCTAGATTGCTCACTATCCTCTCCCTTGAAAACACAAATTAGTGTTACCTCTGGCTTTATGATTCCATCAAACCAAAGAGTTCGAATATGTGGAAGGATTGTTGCGTTGCGAGAAAGTCATTGTGGAGAAGGAGAACCAGTGGCTGGTTCCAATGTGATACCAAGGTGATCCGCGGAAATCTTCATTGACTCTATGTTCAAGAACCCAGATGGCAAATCCAATGAAGACGAAGAAGCAACCACTAGTGACCTAGAGGTCCCATGTCAAAGGCTTCAAGAACAGGCATGCATTCTTGTTCGGGTCTTTTCTAATAGGCACCACCATCACCACTCTAGACTTGGTGAATGGTAACATGAAGTCAACGTAAGATGACCTGTTTGCCACAATAGAGACGTCTCTGACTACCGCGTCGTAGTTTTGTTCAGCAAGGATAGTGTTGTTAATTAAGAAAGCAACACTAGGCCTAATGATTGACCGAATGAAAGCTAAATGCAAATTCAAAAGGACTTACCCCATAGAAGACTTGATCGATCAGGTCGTTGTAATCACCGGCCATCTCGCCGTCGGGCTTTTCAAATGCATAGAAATGATAGGAGACTGCATATGGCATTACCTCCATGACAGCTTTGAAGACATCTATGCAATAACCGGGGGAGATGACTATTGAATTAGGGATCGTACCAGGTGGTACACTGACGAATTCCCTGAATCCATTCTTCTTCGGAGCTCCAATCTTTAACCTCTTTCTATTCGTCGAAATCTCCCAGCCTTTTGGAACGACCTGGGAATCACCTGGCCATATGATTGTTTCAAGATTTGACTTGGAAGTGGAATACCCCATTACATTTCTAAAATCCAATTTTTTAATCACTCCATACTTCGGTGTCCGGAAGTCAACCCCCTTTCACCATTTCCGTTTACATTAATAATCTGGAAAACAGAGGAGTCAAGTTGTCCATTTATGAAACCAAATTCTTCACTTAGGCCTCTAAATCTTGTATTCGATAAAAGTTGCATGAGTTTTGGATCATTTTGAGAAACCCCAAAAGATTCAAGATCATTTCTTGCATTTGTAGAAGCATTCGACCCATCAAAGTTGAAATTTGTAGTGCCAAGTTTCTCCACTGCCATGGCTAGTGCAAATGTAGCATCATAAGCCCGTAATCCAAAAATATCTAAGTCAGCATTAACATAACTAGGATTATCCTGCAAGAACTTGCTTTTCCATCTAACCTTAAAACTATCTAACTCTTTTGACTTCGGAATGTAAGTCCTCACACCCAAAACACCCTGCATGGAATCCATATCTAAACGATTCACCAGACTCCAAACATTAGTCATCCCATCAGTTATTATCCAGACATACCCTTCACCCATCATTCTAATCTCTTTTGCTTTGTCGAAAACCAGGGACCCAAGTTCAGGAGTCATATGAACAATGAAAACTCTAGTCTACATCATCATTAACTGATACAATTCTCCTTCGATCTCCTGATCGGTGACCTTTTGTGAGATAATGCGCCGATAAGGAACCTGAGCATTAACCTCTTCCAAGGCGTCGATCAAGTAAAGTATAACCCCTTCTCCAAACTCATTATCTACATATATAGGGACGGCTTCTCTCCAGTCGAAGGCTTCGACAATGGCACTAATAACTTTGACCTGAAAAGAGTCGTTTTGCGTTGCCCGTAAGAAGTATGGGCTTCGAATGGAGGTAGGAGAAGGACTTGTTGCGGAGAAGGATATGATGGGTACTTGTGCTTTGTTTCAAGATCTATTACGAAGTTTGCCTGCATTGAATTTTCTGTTCCTATGATTGCTTGAACTTGGACATTCTTAATCAAGCCTAGACCTGTTCATCAAAACAAAATTTGAGTTAGGTTTCCACCTAATATAAACTTTTAAGGAATGTTTCAGTGAGTCTTTATGTTAGAGATCTACCCCTTACTCATTATTTGATCGAAAAAAATTACAAAAAATATTATCAATTAATTATTACAGTTAGATAATAATTAACAATTATTAATGGAATTAAAGATTATATGAATACATAATATTATTATCTTCATAATTTTTTTTATAGAATATCAAAATACTATCTTTTTTTTTTTCTTTGGTGAACGTTAAGTAGTTTAGTTGAAAATTTCATACTAAAAAAAGTCAAATAGTCAAATATTCTCTTTACAGCCATGATCCTGTTGAGGTTTGATGGAAGATTTTGCTGCTATTAGGTTAGCTTTCATGTGGAAAATAGAAACCACTGCTCCCTCGAACTTACAGGGATGTTGGTTTTAAGACCTTAAATTGAGCCCCTAAACTACATAAACTTGTCAGATTAGCACCTTACTAACGGTAAAACTTTCAATCACCGATTATTTTATGCCACGTGGGCTTTTCTCGGAAGCAAAATGGAATAATTGCAAAATTGTCTTTGAACTTTTCACATTTCCGTTAAAACATTTTCTTGAGTTTTAGAGAATTTAACTAATTCAACCTATAATAAATTAAACATTGAAAGCCAAAAAAACCAATCACTTATCCATAAAAAGCTTGTTCAAATTGTTTGGATTGGATTTGCTACGGTTAGAATTTTAATTTAAATTAAAGGAGTGTTTGAGATTGTGGTTGTGAGTTTTTTCTTATAGTAGGCTTTTAAATAAATATGTATTTGATAATTTTTTTAGATTACTTTTTTCAAAAATTGTAGAAAATCACAGTAAATCTATAATAGTTTTATATATAAAGACAGAAGTCTCATTTTGGAGTTTTTTTGTTGTAATTTTCACGGACAACAACTAGTATTTAATATAATAACAAAATTATCTGCAAAACCCCACGAATTGCCCTTCAACTTTTCGAGTGTGTAGAACTTTACCTTTCACCTTACAACTTTAGGAGGGTATGACATCATAAACTTGAATATCAAGAGGGTATAAAATCAAATATTGTAAGGTGAGGGTTAAAGTTCCACACACTCGAAAAGTTGAAGGGTAATATGTGGGTTTTCGCCCAAAAATTATCCAGTAAAACCAAATTTTGGTTAATTCAATTATATCATAATTTATCATTTTTATTTAAATTTAACCTCTTATTTATTTGAAGGTTTTATAAAAAAAAATTAATAACTCATTTCCTCCTTATAAGTTACTCTCTTATGAAACTAAGTAAAACAACCATCATAAAAAACCTAAAATATCTAAATTATTAAGAAATAGTAAATATTATCTATTTTAGTAATTATACATGATACAATATTTTTTAAATTGAAATTAATAATTAAAAAAATTTATTATATTTCATTCATAATACTCTTAGAAAATAAATAATCCAACATCAAAATAAATTTCAGTAACAGTTAAAGTACAGTGCAGTTTAGTACAATTATAACTATAGTTACAGTTATAACACTTTACAATAATTTGAAACACATCGTTTGAGACTCATAAAAGGTTTTGATTTAAGGATTTGATAATCTTTATATATTGTTTTTAAGGACTATGGGTAAGCTAGTTTGGCCTTTTATCAGTTTGAAAAGATATATACTTCCTCCATGATGGGGGTTTGATAGATATATTTTCTTTTTTTAATCTTAATTAGATCAAAACATAAGAAGTCAAAT